GCCTTTAGGATTACAGAGGCATTTAGGATGGGCCCTCATCCAAGACGGCTGGTGTCCTTACAAGAAGAATAAGTCTGGATGCAGGCAGCCCCGGCGGGAAGACCCGTGAAGACACAGGGAGAAGGTGGCCCTCCAGAAGCCAAGGAGAACCGTCTCGGGAGAAACTGACTCTGCCGACACCCCGATTTCAGAGTCTGGTGTCCAGGACTGCGAGGAAATACATTGCTGTCGTTTAAGCCCCCTGCCCCTGGTACTTTCTTGTGGCAGCTGGAGGAGACTGATACGGGTGCAAAGGGAAGGGTGTCCTGATCCCCACAGAGGTTGGTCATTTTGTACTGGTTACTTAGCATGCACTGTGACACGTGAATGCAAAAAGCTGGGGGTAGGGCGACTGAAAGGGAGAGAGTTAACTCATGGGACACTCTCCAAAGGAGGGGCGGCCCCAGCAGGGTTTGGAGATCTGAACAGAAACACGAGGGGATGGAGAGGAAGACCCAAAAAAGGCAGGAGACTATCAGGCAAGTGACGAGGATGAGAAGGGATTCGGGGGATTTGGGATTTGCTGGGGGGCCGGGTGGAGCGGGGAGGCGGGTGGGGGCAGGGGGGTTGAGCTGCTGTCAAAGGACCCAGAGCAGCCTCTGTGCTGCCCTCAGGGGCAAGGACGTCGCCCCAAGCACGGAACCACCGAGAAAGTGTGTTTGAAAAGCATGCCTGTGTGTCTGGGCAGAGAATGATGCAGAGGAGAACAGACTAGAGGCGGAGAGGGCATTAAAGAGTGAGTTACCAATCCAGACAAGGCTGATTTGGGCCAGAACTGCGGTGGAGGTCTCGGAGCTGGGGAAGGGAGGAGACAGGGCAGAGGAGGGAAGAAAAGCCACCGGCAGCGGCTCCTAGTCGGGAGGTTAGGGAACAGGACTAGTTGGGGTGCCTCCCAGATGGGGGGCAGGAGGCTGCAAGGGCATGGTGCCCCACTGAGCACAAGCAGGCTTGGAAGAGATGAAGGAGATGAACTTGGTTTTGAACAAACTGCACCTGAGGCTCTTGGGTGTGCTGTTGCCCACACCTGTCAGGTGCTAGAATCCATCCTTTTAGAGGCAAAAAGCCATGGGCACGAACGTGGATGCAGGTCAGAGTTGGGATGTAGGTATTGCGGCTGCATGGGAGTAGATTTGCATTTATGAAAAAGCACTAAAAACTGCCACAGCCAAGAGGAGCCCAAGAAGACCTGACAACTAAACACCGTGTGGGGTCCTGGAACAGAGGGAAGGGCACTGGGCAAACGCTAAGGAAACCGGGGCACAGAGTGGGCTTTAGTGCAATGCCGTGTCCGTGTGGATTCAGGACGTGATGCAAAGGCGGCCCCGGTGTGTAAGATGTTAACAACAGGGGACACGGGGTGGGGGAACGCACGCACTGTACCATTTGGCAAATTTTCTAAAAACCTGAAACTATTTGAAAAGGATGTGTAATTCTCAGAAGTTTATTCGGCTTGGTAAGAACTGTGGCATGTTCTTAAGTCAGAGACACGTGAGTCTGGAACACGCCGCTGACGAGCGGAGGAGCCTTTCTGTTCGGCGGCGATGGCACCGTTCCCTTGGAGACCTCCCCCGCAGTGGCCGGCGGGTAAGGGCGCCTTCTCTCCGGTGCCGCTTCGTGGCGTGAGTCATGCTGTGAATCATCTCTAACGACGTGCTGCTCCCTGACTTCACCCCCCCTCCCGGGCATATCAAGGTGGCAGTAATAACACACTTCACATCCAACCTAATCTCTCTTCTCGGCTTGTCAACATAGACGCATACCTCCTGTCGAAGAGAACCGCTTCCCGGTGGAGGAGAAAATGCACTTGGCAACGGGGAGATGGTCTTGTTCTCCCCTGAACTAGTGCTGTGATTGACGTGTGGAAGGCCACGTTTCTCCACTGGGTGTGACCTGTGGTTTCCCTGGCCCCCAGGCCCGGACCTGAACCCCACCACACATTTCCAAACATGCCGACTCCCCACCCACCCCACTGGCAAGGTCAGCAGACTAAACTGCTTGAGGCTGTGGCAATAGACTGGGAGGAAAAGGGTTGAAGGAGTGGGTGTGAACAGACTCTCTACAAAGCAGTGACTGCACGTGTGCTAAAACCGTAGAGAACTGAACACACACACACACACACACACACACACACACACACACACACACACGAGATGAGTAACCCGGGGAAGTCTAGGATGGGTGAATTGGCCCAATGTCAGTATCTTGGTGGGGACAGCACACTCTGGCTTTGCAGCATTGACCCCCTTGGGGGACAACTGCACGTGAACCATAAATCCTAACCCACCCTCTGACCCCCCAAACTCTCATCCACTTGTTCAGCATCGGAAGGTGGACAGAGGTCTGGTTACAGACTCAGGGAATCCAGAGTTCAGTATCGACTCCGACTCTCGCTAGCGGCGTGACCTCGGGCGAGGCACACAAGCTCTTTGAACGGCAGCCTCCTCACCCAGTGAACGGGAGGACGGTACCGACGTGCAGGCGTCGTCGGGATGATGAGAGGGAGTACGGAAGGGGCCCAGCGCAAGGCGAGTGCTCGGTAAACAGCAGGGATCCCTACTTCTCCAGCCTTCGGCTCTCTTTGCAGAACCTTGTCCCACGTCTCAGCCGCCACTTTCTCCACGCAGCACCCTCGCCTCCTTTGTCCCCTGCTTCTGCCACCGCACCTACCTGGAAAGCCCTGGGCCACACCTCCAACCTACACACAGACATCCTGCCCGCTGACGCCAGGGAGCACACCAGCAGACACATCGCCGTGTGTGTGTGTGTGTGTGTGTGTGTGTGTGTGTGTGTGTGTGTGCAGGCCCAGCCAAGGCCAAGTTCCACATCCCGTTGGGCTGGCCAGCGCTCACTTCCCGCTCCCACCCCCCATGGCCTCCCAGGGTGGCCGACTGCAGGCCATAAACTAGCTCGCACCTGGAAATCCGCGAGTCAGACGTTCTGGTACCGAAATAACCCGGAGGGCAAGGGCTGTTCTGACCTCTGGTCTCCAGGGATTGGCCTGCCAGCTCTCCGACCCAGCTCTCCCACCCACACAGGTCCAAAGGTCAGGCCTATTAACATCCACCCTGACTTAGGATGTCCTGGGGTCAAGCAATGCAGGAACCAGCAGGCACTCCCAGGCAGACTCCGTCCCCCTGACTGGCCCAGGATCTCCAGCAGGAGCCAACCAGGGCTGGCTTCTGGACTCCTGGGGGGAGGGTGCGGAGGGCAGGGGCAGGGCTCAGACCCCCGGAGGAGCATGCTGCCCAGGTCATCATCCCTTTCCTGTGTACACTGACAGACGGCTGTGGGCTGGAGGGGCCATGTGCCCTTCCCTTAGCACAGGAGAAAAAATGAAGAAATTGTGTCCAACTCTGCAGACCCACGGCCCACAGGCCCAGCCTTCTGCCTGCGATATCATCCTTATTATTATCACTGCTCTAGAAATGAATCTTCATCCCTGGCCATGTCAGAATGCCTCTAACTCAGACTTGCTGTGCACGTGGGGACTCCTGCCCAAAGTCCCCAAGTGAAGCCTCTGGTCTAGACCCCAGTCCCCGGGACACGGACCAGCCTGGCATCCCGCAGAACAACCCCAGCTCGGGGCGCCCTCACGTGCCTGGGACCCACACTGCTGTCCAGCCCTCTGCCACTGCTCTTGGTGCTGGAGACGTGGCCCCCAGTGTCCACGCCTCACACGACCTTTGCAGTTCACCTTCCAACTCCCTATGAGTGGGCGGAACTATGCAGAACTCTCTAAACCCCCTTTTAAGCCCTGGCTGGTGTAGCTCAGTGGACTGAGCGCAGGCTGCGAACCAAAGCATCGCAGGTTCGATTCCCAGCCAGGGTACATGCCTGGGTTGCAAGCCATGGCCCCCAGCAACCGCACATTGATGTTTCTCTCTCTATCTATCTCCCTCCCTTCCCTCTCTAAAAATGAATAAATAAAATCTTATAAAAATAATAAAAAATAAATAAACCCCTTTCATCCTGCCCCGGAACCTGGGCCAGAGCCTACACATCCCCCAAGCCCCTCCAGGCCACCAAGAGAGCGGTCCTGCCTCTCTGCATCAGTAGCAGGTCCCCAGGCCGGTGGGCACCGTGGGCCCAGAAGGGGAGCCCCGAGAAGGACAGGGCCCTGGCATCGCCTCAGTTACCCCTCCTCTCCCTGCAGCCCCTCCTTCCTCCCTGACACGGAGCACCCCCTCCCGCACCCCTTCTGAGCCCAGTCTCCATGGAGACGCTGTAACCAAGAAGCCCGCCAGTCTTGCCAGTCTCGCAACCCCCCACCACCCCACTCCTGGGACAACCTGTTCTTGGGGCTGGGCTCGGCCTCTGGTGGCCACAGGGCACAGATGCGCCCGGCCAAGACCAGGAAGGAGTGTCCGGGGCTGAGCCCCCACTCTGGGTGAACAGTGGGGACCCCCGAAGCCTCTCCGCTCTCTGCCCGACCCAGGCGTGGCGGCACAGGTTCTCCCTTTAACTCTGGTCTCTGGGGGCCTTTCTGCGCATTCCTCCCCCCCTGAAGCCGGCCAGCTCTGATTTTCATCGCTCGCCGGAAACTTAACCCACAACCCAGAGCTCCAGCAGGGAGTGGGCCCCAAAAGCTGAATCGGCGGCGGGGTGTGTTGGGCCCACCTCTGTCCTCTCTGTCCGGCAGATCTCTGGGGGCTCTTTTTGGGGTCCCGAGCTAGGATCGATCGCACCGTCAGAAACACAGCCTCTCCGCCACCCCCCCCCATATATTTCGAGGGAAACGGCGGGCACGGGACCCCAGGAGAAAGGCCAGGACACAGCAGGCCCCACGGGCGGGCGAGCAACGCCTGCTCACTGGGAAGGGCCAGCTTCGCACCCTGCATGGCGGCCTGGCCTCCCCTCCAGGTGCTGCCCCCCCCACGCCAGTCTCGGGGCCCAGCTGCAGCCATGCCCGCACTGGCGCGCCGTGCAGCCTCCCCAGCAAGCGGGTCAGACGCGGCTGGAGCAGCGGGACAGACCGGCTTTATTTCCGTGAAGAGACGCCCGCCCTGGGGTTCAGCGTCACTGAAGGGCTAACCCTGGAGCTTCACTCGCCACGCGGCTCAGGCCCCTCTCCCACGCCCTCCGTGACCTCTTCACTCGTCCGCGGGCGCCTCCGGCTCCTTCTTCCCTTCCTCGGGGCCTCCCGAGTCTTTCAGGTTGTGGCGAGCAAAATCCTCGAACACCAGATCTTCATCCTGAAAACTAAAATTAAACAGGGAACATTTCGATCGTGGCGCTTTCCGAAGCTGGCAAGGAACTCTCAAGCGAAACGCGATCCTAGATCTTCCTTTTGCGACAGGGGAGCCCACGGAGAGCTTCCCGCGTGATGGGACGTGGGACCGTGCCCTTCTCCTCGGGGCTGCCGGCGGGAAATCTCTTTCACAAACGGACAGGAGAGAGACCCCACAGGGTAGACACACACACCCGGCACATCCACGGGTGCGTGCACATACACATACATGTGTGTGCACATGCATGTATGTGCACGCGCGTAAGTGTGGGTGCGTGCATGTGTGTGTGCCTGTGTGCCTGTATGTGCCTTAGTACTAGGAAATAAAAGGGAAACCAGGGTCCAACCCCATATCAAGAGCATGGGGTGTGCGATTCCCAGTCAGGGCACATTTCTGGGTTGCAGGCCACAGCCCCCAGCAACCGCACACTGATGTTTCTCTCTCTCTCTTTCTCCCTCCCTTCCCTCTCTAAAAATAAATAAATAAAATCTTTAAAAAAAAAAAAAGCATGGGGTGTGTACAAAATGACCCCAAAAGGGGTTTGTGCTGACGAGAAGCAGAACTCAGGATGACGTGCAGCAGTGACTCACCTTTCCTTGGCCGTAGCTGTGGCATGGAATGACAGAGAGAGAGAGAGAGAGAGAGAGAGAGAGAGAGAGAGAGAGAGAGAGAGAGAGATATTAGCGGCAATTCTGTGTAACAGCTCCACCTGGAAAACGTCTTCCCGGTTTAGTGATTTGTAGTTGGAGGGATACAAGGCCCAGACACGCGCATCTCACGATATCCGAGTTCCTGCTTCTTTGCCTTTTCCCCTCGGAGAGCCACTCTCCCCGAGTTTTCCACCACGATTTCTTCCCACAGTGCCACACCCTCGTCCGCTCAAGGGGACAACCCATGACCTTACCTCCAGGCCCCTTTCCCTGGTCCGCCTCACTCCCTCTGATGCCACACTTCTCTCGGAGCATCTCCCCCTGTGTGTCCCTTGGGCCCCGTCCAGACCAGAGTCCCCACAGGCGCCGTCAGGCCCCAGGCTCGCCCCACACCCCCCCACCCCCCCGCCCCGGACTCTCCGAATCCAGCTCTCCAACGGTGAGTCTGGGACTCGTGCCCACCCGGCAGCCCCAGCCCCTCAGGGTTCCATTTCTCTGTGAGCACACGGATCTTTATCTCGTTGGGTTGTATTTCCACGTATGTTCTGCAGCCCAGATTAATTGCTATTAATTTGAGTGGGGTTTTTTTGTTCTTTCTTAGCTTTCGGCCTCCCTAGGGAAGCACTGCTGTAACCCGCGGCGGCGAGCCAGAAAGAGCTCAGGGTATGCCAAACGGCACCAGCTGGTTCCTTGGGAGCACGATGCCAATGGCAAGCCACCGCCCTTGTCTCTCGTGCCTACCTGGAAGCCAGCCCTGGGAGGGAAGCGTCTGTGTGGGCTGCTCACCACAGGAGCTACGGAGAGGCGAGGCGGATGCACCAAAACATCCCCTGGGCAAGAAGCTTCTTGGACCCCCACGGTGCGAGGCATAAAATTATACTAGCCGGCACCAATCAACACCCTGCGTTCCTTTCGACGGGGGACAATAAAAGCTTGGTAGCATTTGTGCAGCACTTGGCCCCTGGCCGGGGCAGAGCTCCTCAGCCACAACGCTTATCTGCTTGGAGTCTACCATCCAAACCAGGGAGCCGGGACCTAGGCAGGTAAGGCGTGAGCACGCATCTGTGAACAAAACTGGGGGGACTCCTCGGTCCCTGGAAATCTGAATTGGGAAGCCCTGGGGGAGTTTTCCTTTCTCCCTGAAAAAGTCCAAAGTCGCTGCTGAGTCTGGATGCTCAGTAGGTTCGCTGCGAGGGCCAGAACGCCCGGAACGTGACAATGTCCTACCCAGGACAGGAATAACGCCACTTCCCCCCCGGTCCGGCCCTAGAGTCTGTTCGCAGCTGCAGAAAACAGTCCCGCATAAACTGTGACATCTCCTGAGGTCACAGGCTTAAAATAACCTTCGAAAATGGCCTTGAAAGAGACCAGAATGCATCTCACTCGCACGCAGTTCAAAAATAGTATTTTAATGACACCAGCATATGAGAATAAAGTGAACATGGCCAGACCGTATTTTTCCCCCGGGGGAAGGTTTTGGCAAAGGACACTGAGCGTTTGAATCCAAACTATTTGGAAAAGATACTTGGAGACAAAATATTTTTGAGACAAACCCAAATAAATCTGGGGGCCCATTCTCCTGTTCCAATGCCATTTCATTATCAGTATATAAAAAAAAAGCTAGATGTAAAGTATACGAACAAAAGGGACCCTGCTCATCTGCACCACTTTCGCTTGAAATGCTCTTTATGGCCGCAGCTCCGAGAGCTCCTAACAACTAAGCCGCTTCACACGCAGCAGATAAGTTTTCGCAGAATTTCCAGGCAGCACCTGGATTATTTCTGCTGCTTCACGAATCCTCTTTAAAAGGGCAGCATCGAGATGGAACTCACGTGCCACACAGCGCACCGCTGGCCGGTCCGGGCCCACGGTGCGGAGAGCACTCGGTTGCAGAGTGCTTGGCTCCCTTTACTCTCAACGTCCACACAAGGGCCAGGGGGTTTACGGTTTAAAGGGGCCACAGTGACCGGGCCCCAGCCTGGCCCTCTGGTCGAGTGTTTTCTACCTTCTCGTCCCAATCTCCGCCATCAAAAACACTCTTCTCCAGGCCTGCTAATGTTTCCCGATGAAATGCAAAAGCCTCAGGCACCACATTTATTTTTCACCTGAACTTTCTTTACACCTGAATCCAGGTCTGTTCACAGGAGAAACCTCTGCCTCTAAACCATCGCTAATAAGACCCAATGGGGCTGCCCGTGTCTGAGCCCAGGGCTGCCCAGTCCTCCCCGCGCTCACTGAGGGTGGGCCAGCGCCTGGGGGCTCCGGACCGAGTGGGGGAGCGCCCCTTCCAGGCCCCCCCCCACCCCGAGGGCACCTTGAGGGTGATGTGGCCACACCCACGCCCCCGGAGGTGGTCAGGAAAGACGAGCAGGGACTGTGTGACCAACCGGCACACAGGGAGTGACTAAGAAGCCGGGACAAGGGAGGACTGACCTGGGTCCTCAGGCTGGGGGTGCATGAGACGGAACGGCACCTCGGTGGCCACCTCACTACGAAAAAGAAGCAGGCGGATCAGGGAGGACACGCACACAATTACAAATCGCACGGGACTCGGTGAGACTCAGAACAAAACACACCAGAAATCAGGAGGGCAGCACGTGGGGATTTGAAATGCACCCCCGGCAGGTGGCCCAGAGACCTCACTTCGGCGGCGTGGCCGAGGAGGCTACGGTGCTCAGGCTCCTTTCCTCCTGCGTGTGAGTTCCAGTGACATGATGGTGTGGTGCAGGACAGGTCGGCAGAGGATGGTTTTGAAAAATATCCTTTGCAAAACTGTACACAATTGTTATGTGTTAAAGTGACGGATGGTTGGTGTTTGGGGGACCGGGAGCACAGTCTCTTGCTAGAGGTGAACAGGGCCCACCAAATTCCAGAAGCTAAAGGGCTTTGGGGCAACTTGGAATTTATACAAAAGGGAGGAAGGAAAGGAGTCAGGAAGGAAAGCAGAAGGGAAGTCTGGGCAAAGGGAGAACGGAGAGGTGGGGTGCACGTGTGTGTGTGTGTGTGTGTGTGTGTGTGTGTCACTCCTTGCCTCACCGGGATCCACCGCCCCCTGCCCCGAGGTTACCACTTCAGTCAATGTGCACATCTGCAAGGCCATTGTCGTCAGACCCCGGTACAGACGCACAGACGGGGTCTGGGAGAAGAGGGGTACCCTGGGTTCTGTGCGAGGGCAGGAGGTGGCAAGAGTGGGGGTGAAGCAGCACCCAGTTCAGCGCCTGCCCCCAGCCTGTCTCGCCGGCTTCCCCTGCGCATGAAGCGAGAGGCGGCGTCGCTGTTCTCAATAACCGACAAGCCGAATGGGTGGAAAGAAGCCAAGTGTCCACCAGCAGGTGAACGGACAAACGGAAGGGGTCTGTCCGTACAGTGGAAGCGTCTTCATCCAGAAAAGGGGCGCAGCGCTGACCCACGCTACGGCACGGGTGAGCCTGGAGAACGGTGTGATGGGCGAAGGCAGCCAGACACTAAGGGCGAACGAATGCTGTCTACTCCCACATTCTGGGTGAATGAGACACCCAGAAAAGGCAACTCTATAGAAACGGGAAGCAGGTGCGTGGTTGCCAGGGACCGGGGGAAAGGGAGAGTGGGAGAGAGTGTGTGTACAGGTACGGCGTTGTCTTCGGGGTGGGAAAAAGGTCCCGGAGCCCGACAGCGGTGACAGTGACACAACACAGTAAAGACAGCTGGCGCCATGAACGCAGATTTTACCAAACATGCAAAACAAAGGCGCTGCATGGAGTGTGCCGTTGCCCGTGTGTGTGTGTGTGTGTGTGTGTGTGTGTGTGTGTGTGTGTGTCCTTGCCCGGGGGTGGCCCAGCTGTGGTCTCAAAGAAACAGCCCCGGCCTCACACCTCTCTGCCAGGGTTTGTGCGATGCAACCGAGAGGCAGCGGGCACCGTTTCACGATGGCTGGGAGCCGCGCCGCCAGGAACCCAGGCGGCGCTGCTGGTGGTTTGAGCCCCGGGGTCGGGGTCGGGGTGGTTCCCTTGCTGCCCTGGGAATCAGGCGGAGGAGGTGGGCGGGCGATGCGGCTTACCTGGAGGTGAGCTCCCCCAGAAAGCTAGGAAACAAAAGCAAACAGGGCTGTAGTGACCGTCCCCGGGACAGCACGGCCCCATTTCTCAGGGCTCAGAGGCCGGACAAGTCCCAGCCCCGTCCCCTCACAACCTCCTGCGTCTACACCGCCACTGCTCCTCTCCGCTTGCGACTTCCTGTCTGTCTCGAGCGATCAGTTAAAAGCAGGAGTCACGTGGCTTCAAGCCCTGCTGCTCGAGAACAAACCACAGAGCCGAGTCTCTCTCCCGGCCACGATCGTGAAATGCCTGTTATTCCCTTACATCACGGCTAAGGGAAACTCTCCCTGGCTTCACGTCCCCTTCCAGAACATGAAAGAAAACCCTGCGCACTTCGAAAACACACAACAAGCCCTGGCTGGCGTAGCTCAGTGGATTGAGCGCGGGCTGCGAATCAAAGTGTTGCAGGTTCGATTCCCAGTCAGGGCACATGCCTGGGTTGTGGGTCACGGCCCCCAGCAACCACACATTGATGTTTCTCTCTCTCTCTCTCTCTTTCTCCCTCCCTTCCCTCTCTAAAAATAAATAAATAAAATCTTTAAAAAACACACACACAACAGACACCAACACCGTTAACAAAATTTCCAAAATCACCCCAAGTCCTACACTGTTGCCTCAGCCAAACTTCGGGCAACTCTCTGTCTGCTCAGAATCACAGACGACACGCCTGATGGCTGAGCCACCCGAGGCTCCTCGGGGTCAGGGGCCAGAGCCGTGGCCAGTGGGATCCGAGAAGGAAAGGGAGAATCCGAGTGTTTTCCCTTTAGACGATGTTTTAAAGATGGAAGGAATGCATTTCGTTAAAAAGTGGAAAACCATTTCCCCGGCACTCTGAGATACCTGGGCTCTCAGTGTGAAAGGCAGACGCCCCACCCCGTGGTTCCACGCTGGGAAAGGGAGGGGCGGTCGCTCCCTGTGGGTGGGTGCCTCCCCCCACCACCCCGAGAGCCGCCGTTCTTTCCCGCAGCTCAGCGCCCCGTGGGACTGACTGCCCTTTCCTGCAAGTCAGCCCCCCTGACGTGAGCACAGGCACACCCACTCTGTCCAGTGCTGCCTCCCCGGCACGCATTTCACCATCAGCTCGTCCACCTCTCCCCACGCATTGTCCTGTCGGACGGAATTATGAAAGCGGGCCAATAGCGTCTCTAAAACTCTACTCGGTGGTCAGTGGGATGAGCGGCCCTTCCCGCGCTTTCTGCCCCCCTGTCATTCGGGAAGGAAACGACTCAGCCAAAGGCCAAGACAGGACAGACAGAGCAGGGGGCCTAGGACACTCACCCTGTCACCGTGAGCTTCACCTTGAGCTGGTAAGACACCAGGATGCCCAGCACAGTCCGGTCTACGCCCTCCTTGATGCTGCGCGGAGAGGAAACGCAGAGGGGTGCGGGGGGGTCATGGAAGGTGAGGCCCGGGTGGACCAGACCCCGTCCCCACGCGGGCACCCCACCATCACGGGGACGTCTTCTCCAGGAGCCGGCGAGCCCAGCCCAGCTGTCCCAGTCCCAGAACTTCCCCTGCTCGAGGCAGGGGGTGCCTTTCCTGCTTGTAGGTTGGTGTTTTCCCCTCCGGAAGTCCCGGGACCGGGGGTGCTTCAGGGTGCTCCCTGCCGTGCCTCAGTGGGCGCCCATCCGCCCGCTCACGAGCCAGAAACCCTTCTCTCCTGCGCCCCACCTGCCGCCCCACCTGCCGCCCCACCTGCCGCCCCACCTGCCGCCCCACCTGCCGTCCTGGCTGGCCCCCCGCGTCCTCCACAGGCTCTTCCTGCCTGGATGGTCTCAGTAACGTACACCCCACGTGCCAAGTTCCTTCCCCCAGCTCTCTGCTGCTCTGCGGCCAGCCGGCTCTTCCAGGGTCCAGCCCAAGCGTGGCCGGGCAGTAACCTGTGAGCAGCCTTTGTCTGCTTTGCCACCTTGTAGCTTTCTGTGCCCCAGGGTCCCCCACGGGCCAGCCTTGCCACACACGAGCCCGCCCCTGAGTGTCCTCCTCCTCGGCCTCCAAGAACTCACGCTGACGCTGCCCCTCCCCCGTGAAGCCCCCTGGCCAGCTGCCAGGCAGCACGGGCCTCCGGCCTGAGCACTCCTGCTCTGCGTCCCCGCATCGCCCAGCATCGTGTTGCAGTGAATGACTGTGCTGTGTGGGGCCATGACACGTGCCCCCAAGGGAGTGCAGCCTCACCGCCCTCCACGGAGGCTCCACCCCAGGTCCCTCGAACGTGCACTGGGCTCCTACCGCCTGACAGGCGCCAGGCTGGTCGCTCTCTCATAGGACCCAGTGCAGGGAGCTGGAAACAGAAGTGTTTCAGGAGGTCTGGCAACAAGCACTGAGGCATAAAAATATCGTGAACTATGAAATACTAGCTAAGACAGCGTGACTGATGATCTCGAACGTGGCTGGGAGACCTGGAGGCCTGCGGTGGGGGGCACGGCTGTGCTGAAGTCTGAGAAGTGTGCCGGGAGGGGGGTGGGGCGGTGCTGGGCCTGCCCAGCCTGGGGCACCCAGCCCAGGGACCCTTCTGGTGGGGGGCCCCGGGACATTGCTTCCAGGACCACCATGCCCCCAAATAACTTCATCAGCTTATCGGGGCCCAGAGGTCCCTGAAAAGGACAAAGTACCTTATCTGGAGTCGTGGGATGTGGCCAGGCTCTCAGTGGAGAGATGTAGCCACCAAAGGGCAAGGGGGTGGGGGGACGCAAGCCCGAGCCCCCACCCTTTGCAGGGACTGACCCTCTACCTCGGACAGAATGGGGCCAAAGAGCCGGGGGAGACAACGCGCCTGGGAACAGCCTGCGGGCTTCCTCCCCTCCGTCTCTCTCTCTCTCTCACACATGTGCACACACACACACAGACTGGCTAATCCAGGTCCTGCTGCTGGTGTCACGTTCCAGGGCCCCGGACGGCAGCCCTGAGGTCGAGGGTGGAACTGGGGCTCAGGGTTAGGGCGGACTTTGCCATTAACTGGCCAGGTGACCTCGGACAAGCCTCTCATTCTGGCTGAACCTCAGTTTCTTCAGCCATCAAATGAGTGCAAATCGACCTTTCTCACAAAAGTATGGCGAGGCTCACGTGTGTGTAAAACACTCCAGAAAACGTTTTTTACAGATGCGGGGAGCTGTGGTTGATTGTTACGCCCTCAAATGAGCTGACCTCAGGGGCCGGTCCCCCTCTTCTCCCCTCTCAGAGAGCTCCCCAACTGTGCTCTTGGATCTCGCACACCAGCACGGCTGATTATCCTCGGACAATCCCTCGGCTTGCACGACCCTGCTCCTGTCCCCCGCTGTGCACCCCCCACCATGTTTTACACAGACCTTCTCCACATCCTCGTGACCTCTCTAAGAGAAGGCACTGTTGGCACCCACACGCCACCGATGGGGACACTGAGGTTCTCAGATGGCCCGAGCGATTCGCCAGGGTGGCCCAGTGGAGCTGGGGTTCGGCGCCAGGCCGGCTCAGGACCTGCAGCTGCACCTGCCACGTCACGCCAGGGGTGGGAGCGGGGTCCCCCCGTGAGCCCCGGGGGTGAGATGGGAAGGGGGAGCAGACCAGGGCCACGGCCGCACAGAGTCTCGGGGGCTCAGCTCCTGAGCTCCGAGGACTCACATGGTGCTGGAGGCCAGGTTCGTGTCCTCGTGCTTGATCTTCCCGTCCAGCGCGATGCCCCTCCGCTCGCGGTTGTTGGCCAGCAGGGGCACCAGCGTCAGCGTCGTGGTCAGCGTGCTGTTCGGGGGCACTTTTTCTCTGCGGGAAGGACATCAGAGGAGATGTGGCGATTGGCTCTCACGGCCATGAGGCCGTCACCCCGTCTGCCGTCGAGCGTGGTCCGGGATCCACACCCCCTGCGGCTCGTGGGAAAGAGAGTTCAGGTGCCCGTGCATTTGCCCGACCGGGGCAGAGGAGTACCACTGACACCTCAAAATAGACGGCCAGCAAGATCGCGACATTTTCTCAAGTCTCTTAGCCTGCTCTGGTCACTGAATTTCTAGCATGTTCTGTGGGGCTGAACGCGGCCGACTGGCCCGAGGGTCAGGGACCACACCCGTTTCTACTTGACACTGGGAACCATGCAGTTGGCTGCAGGGCCGTCTGGCCAGTGGCACAACAACCCCCGACTGGAAGTTGCCTGTCGCCAAAAACTGTGAGCGGGGGAGGGGGTCTGCATGCACACGCCCATGGAGGTGGGTTATTGAGAATGGGCAAGGCCCTGGGAATACCGCCTGGAGCCGCCCTGGGCCCCTCCCTCCACCTGCCCCGGGGCAGGCTGGGAGTCTGAACCGCCACTTGCAGAACGGCTTCCCGCCTTGAGCCCCCTGTGGAGCTTTGGGCAAGGCAGCTGTGGCTTCTGCCGCCTGCAGTGAGCACAGGAGGCCCCTGGGTGTGTCCGTGACAGACCTGCTGGAGCACCAGACGGCCCACGCCCTCCCATCCGGGCCCTGCGGGAACCTCTCTTAACAAGCTGGTTTGGGCGGCAGAACGACAAAGGCGAGCATTATACTCTAAAGGGACGGTAACAGGAAGGGGATGGCTCTTCCCACAGCCTGTGAGGTCCCTCCCCAGGACCTTCAGGGTCTGGGACTGGGTGAGAGCGGGTGGCAGCCCCGGGATCAGGTCTGACCTGGACTGATGGGGCCCCAGCCACCAGAGCCCAGGGACCCCCAGGGTTCAAGGACAATGGCCAGGCTTGTCCAGCTTTCTGAGCGGCTCCTGGGCTGAGACCTGCCCGCATGATCCCACCCAGCTGTCAATCTCCCTGCCACTCTTAGGGGGCGTCAGATTGGTTCCCAGTTTCCCGGGAATCATCTGGTGCAGCATGTACCCAGGAGATGAAAAGAGAACCAGATTGTGCGGTGAATTGGATGAAACTCGGCCAAGGACCATTCTCTGCTGCCGTGATTGAGCATCTGCCAAAAGGTGAGCCAGAGAGACCGCTGGGCCAGGCCGTGTGCCGGGAGGCAGCCAGGAGGCAGCCGGGAGGCCGTGGCGTGTTACGCTTTTTCCTTAACCTCCCTCGGGATCTGCTTCGGGTAATAGCAGTTTATCCTCAAGTTGTCTTGCAAACACTCGGCAATATTATCTTGCAGAATCAGCTCATCTTTCCTCACCAACCCCTTCCTCTAACGGCGGTAATGTTTTTTACATACATCAGTGCTTAGAATGTGCCAGCTAGGCATAGACCTCCCCAGCGGGTCCTCTCTCGGGGGCTGCAGCGGGCTGACCCCCAGAAGCCTGTGTTTTTTGCGACTCTCCCTGCCCGCCTAGCACAAAGCAAAAATGGGCAGGCCCCTCCCTCCCCCAGGAAGAGGCCGTCTCAGGATTCCTGCTCAGTGTTGATTCCAGTACGGGGAGAAAGGCCATTCACCACCGCAGGCTGGGCGGTTGTGGGTGTGAGATTTCAAGTTGCGGAGATCAGGAGACAGAGAACCCTCCCTGGGCTGACAGGTTGTCCGATGACCTGCCTGCGGGCAGGAATGGTGCCAAGGTCCTAGCAAAGGATTGCAAGGACGCTTGGAGGGCCGGCCGTCCCCACTGTGACGTGCCCGGCCTTATTTCCCTGCTCCCATCGTGTGCTGGTTCGCCCAGTCCCTCGGACCCTTGCAGCGGAGGCTGCGGTGGCCACACGAACCCTCCCCGCCGGACTGGAAGTGGGAAAAGGGGAAGGAGGTGGAGCCCTGGCGAGCTGGCTGAGCATTCACTTCCCTCGGCGGCCGGACGCGCGAAAGGAGAACCCGGGGAAGCAGAAACCCCACGGTTACTCACTGTGCTTCCTCCTCGGCCACCGGCTTGACGTAATAGTCACTTGAGTAGAGAACCACGTTGGCCACTTGTTCCACTGCGGAGAGGGGACGGGAGTGGGCTTGTCACGTGGGGCTCCCCAGGCGTGTGCCTGGTGCCGCCCGGCCTCCCGGGGATGCAGTTGGCCTTCCCCGTCTGATGCTTCTCAGGCTCGGCTTCCTCGGCTCAGGGCGTCAAGGCTGGGAGTCCTGAGGCCACAGCTGTCCACCAATAACTTGCTCTGTGGCAGCTCCCACTCGTGAGCCGGCCTCCCCAAACTGCGCCTCCTCTCTGCGGAGCCCCTGGGACGCCCCTGGGTGTCCTCCCAGGGCACACAATCTTCCAGCACCCCAGAACTCACCGCTGGCTCGCTTCCTCCAAACCCACCCCCTTCTGGCACCCTCTGTCTCACAGAACAAGCATCTCCCTCTGGGTACCCGACCCAGAGACCATTCGGAGGCCACACAGGGTGCACAGGGAGGTGGGCTCCGGAGCCGCACGACTCGGGCTCTGACCCCAGCCAGCCCTCAGCTGTGGGTTACTGGGCTCCTCTAAGCCTCAGTTTGCCCGTCAGCAAAATGGGGGTGATGATTGCTTCTAACTCAAACGGGCGTTGTGAGGATGAACAAGAGAACTTTGACCTCCATGAAAATCGAATGTGAGGATTAAGAGAAACAATTTGTTGGGAGCACTCAGCAGAGCTCAGTCTGGAGAAAGCTATTAACGTCTTGCTTCAGAAAATGGAAGAGCTCCTTTCAAAAATTAATGGCATTGATGCTAGGGCTTGTAAAACTTTGAGGAATAATTTTAAAGCGAGGTATCGAATGATACTCCTGCAGCCCTGCTGCTGTGCGGAACCCCATGGAACCCTGTGGTGAACACTGTACGTACTTCATGCTAAATAAATAAACTACGTCCTGTAAGGACTGAAAGGAATGTGAACTAAACCAACATAAAACTAAGCTGTAAATTAAGCATTCATATTAGCATCTGGAAAAGTCTAGAATTCTTTAGTAGGCATGCATCAAAACTCCTGCTCCTTATCTACGAGGGACACGAGGGGCGGGAGGAAGGTGGTATATGACACTCAGGGTCACCGGCCACCCTGGTTTGCCTGGGCCGGCCCCGTTCCAGCCCTGCAGAAAGCCCTGGGCAGCCCGGGGCAGTGGGTCACCCTGACACACTAAGTCTAACTTTGTCTTGGTCATCAAACGTTTGAGTTAGAAGTGAACGGGGAGGTGTCTCTCCCAGGCCATCCTGTCCTGTCTTTTTTATGTAGCCCCTGTGAGACCATGATGTGAGACCATCCCCTGCATGTTGGTGCCCTTTGAGCTGAGGGAGTGGAGGAACAGCAAGCAGGGGGCCCCTCCCCTGAGGGATTCGGTGAGACTCGGCCATCGCCTCGTGGGGATTCTGCAGGACCAGCAGGCGTGGCGCTTTACCATTCACAAAGCACTTCCACGCGTGACTGGTCCTCCGCACCCCACAAAGCCCGGGAAGGCAGCCCAGGAGCCCTGCCGTAAAGGCAGGGGGTTCTCCCAGAGAGAGAGCCCACGAGGAAGCCCTGTGTTCGTGGGCTGTGCTTCCCCGGCTCTCCACTGAGCCTTGGGGGGGAAACTCCTGTCCTGGCTGCCCGGGCCCTGGCCCTGGCCCCTCCAGGGAGGCCTGACATGGAAGACGGAAGGTCGCCTGTCGGATGCTGTCCCCAGAGCAAAGGCAGCCCTCGGCTGGGGGTGCGGTTGTATGCCATGACACCGGAGGGCCTCCCTCGCTCGGAGGTCCTGCCGTCCGTGACAACAGAGACCGACGGGTGGCTCTGAGGACCCGGGAGGGCCTTTCCCACCCAGAGGACGGACCCTCGGGAAATAGGACCCGACTGAGAAATTCCAGGGGACTGCGCCCTCCAGCTTGGAGCAGGAGGTCCTACCGAATGCTTTGATCTTCTTCACGGTCTTCTCTGTGTTGTTGGTCACGGTCACGGTCACAGGAATGGGTTCCCCGTGGAAGTAGATCTGAAAGGTTAGCAGACAGGTCAGAAAAGGGGGACAGGGGGTGGTGGTGTCTCTCATCTCGCGGCTTTCTGAATTCACCTCGGCCCCTTAGCAGGGCACACGGGGCTGGATTCCCGCACTTCCGAGGAAGACGCCGTGGCAGCCGCGTGCTGCCTCAGAGGAGGGCCCGGGACGCGCTGTCCCCCCACCCCCGTCTGAGGGGTGCTGGGGAGGAAACGGGGACCCATGGGGGGCGGAGCCAGGGTGCTCCTGCCCGGAACGCCTGAGTCCTGAGGGGCACCGCAGAGTGAGCCCCGGGGTCTAGGGTGGAATCACAGGCTGTTTGGGGCAGAACGAGTGAAACGGGAGGAAGCCCGCGGGGGGCCTGGGGCAGGGCCCGGGAGGGGCGCCCTTGCACGTGTGCACACACACGCCTGCATGTGTGCCCAGGCACACGCAGACACCTGCAGGCACACGCCCACGAGTACACGGAGGATTTGGGCTCTGGCCGGCATGCGTGCGTGACTCATGGTGACCGGAGGGGCCGGAGACAGCCCCGGCCAGTGGCTCGTCACCTTTTTCGCTGTGACACACTTCACAGATGACATTCACCTGTGTCACGGCCACCCGCTCAGGGCTACATTGAAACTTGAATTTTCCAGGGATCCGCGGTGTGTGATTCCACACCCCTCGGTGCCACACTGGCACATGAAGCCCACGGGACGGGGAGGAGGGCAAAGGTGGCCTGGGGTCGGGGTACATGGAAGTCCCCCACCAGAGCTGGTCAGGACTGACGACGAGTGGAATCCAGGTCAGTGTGACCCTGTTCTACAGCCACCTTTCCTGGGTCCGAATGATGGGGAAGAGCCCACTGCCCTCCAACGCCGGTGCTGAAACTGTCCCTAGACACGCCCACAGCAGGTAGGGCACCGAAGCCGGGCCTGTCCCCCGGGCCTGTCCCCCAGGCCTGCCCCCACAGGGGGCACAGTGACGCCGGTGGATTACCTCTTTGCTCAGGGAGACGGCCAGGTGCAGGGGCTTGTCAGAGCGGAAGAACTGCCAGCTGGCCTCGGCCCGGGGCTGGGGACCCATCTTGGCCGGCGCGTGCTGCACCTTCCGGATGAGTAAGCGCACCGAGCTCCTGCGGACAGAGAGCCGGAGGCAGTCCTGCAGGCAGGGCCAGGCCTCCTCGGGGCGGCCAGCCCCGGGGCTGTCTCCTGCACTCACGTGGGGACCTAACAGACGACTCGGGGTGAACCCAAAGGGGGCTGGGGGGGCTGGTCTGGAGGAGGGGGTCTCGGACTGGTGTCCAGGCTGTCTCTGGGATTTCCCCAGCTGGGGGGCGTGGGGCCCAACTGCTCTCCCGAGGAAGGCTCTCACCCTGCCCCGCCTCTGGGGGCGGGGGGCACTGATGTGGGAACGTGTCGTATGCTTTAGGTGACATGCTTCAAGCGTGTACACCATCGTTGCTACTTATCGCGGCAGTGGTAGGTGCGTGTGGAGTATGAGGGGAAAGTACTGGGGGTGCAGTTAGGAACCGTGTTCAGGGACCAGAAGAACGTGGGAGGCCAGGCCTGGGAAGGCGGGAGGAACTCGGGGCACGGCTCGGGGGGCGGAGGGCTGCTGTTGGGGTGGTGAAGGCTTCATGTGTAACTACGGTTACACAACACAGTGAATGCACCTAATGCCACTGACTCGCACGCTTGCAAACGGTCAAAACAGTAAACTTCGTGTTGTGTATATTTCACCACCATAAAAAAATGATGGAAGAAGAAAAAGAAAAGTAAAGAGAGCAGGAATCTGGAGGTTTCCAGGAGCTTAGGTGGGCCCTGGAGGTTGCCAACACTCCTGTCGTTCTCTTTGCTTTTTTTCCCCCCAAATGATCAGCCATTGACCCCCAGTCCCTGGGTGGAGGTTGTCCCCATGGCCCCGGGCTGGGCTCCTTGGGGAGAGTTCTGCCACGGACACAGAGGAGGGGGGTGTCCTATCCCCCACACCCCCAGCCCCTCACCTAGTCCCACAATGACATTCTTACTTCTTGGGAACTTTGTCCACCTCGTCGTCCGTGCTGTCTGTGGCGAATGCTTTGACCTCGAAGTCGACCCCACAGCACTGCAGGGACAAAGAGCAGAGAAGACCTCGGTTAGTCCCTGCTTTCCTGGGACAGGCCGTGCCTCCCGAGGGGGCGTCACCTGGCACCCGGTCTTTCTGTCTCAGCCTCATCCTCTTCAGGGTTCACCATTAAAACGCTGTGACCCACCACCACCCGGCATTCCTGGCCACGCAACCCCTCGCTCCCTGTCCCCCGCCCTCCCACTGCATGCTCTCCCACTCGGGTCTACGCTGGGCACACGCGGTCCCTTCTTCGGAAATGCCCCGTGGCTCTCTTTCTCCACGTTCGACACACTCCTATGTGTCCTCCCAGCCCCAGCTCCAAGGTCCCTCAGCTGCACGGCCCGAGGCCCCAGGTGCGCAGATGCCCCGCCCCGGGCCGCCCGGGCCTCGGTTCCTACGGAGCTCTGGTAGCCTCCTCTCTGGGACGGACCAAAGGGTGGCCCTTTGTTTGGCTGGCACAGAGCCCCCACTCCCACTTAGTGGCCTCGTCTTCCTCCATCCCGGCTGCCTACGCCCGATTTCTGGACCAGCGGCTTTCAGAGGTCCCGCCGCCCGTGCTGAGAAGTGAAGTTCCTAACAAGGCCCGGTACACAGCGGCGCTTGGGTGAGACAGCTCCCACCCGTGCGCTGGCCCTTGCTTGGCGTGTGTGGGGCGCCCTGAGCTGTCCCGTCCTCTTCCATTTCCTCACACACCCCCTTTTCTGAAACGCCACGGCTGACCCCCTGCCCTGGTTTCACAAACCTCTCCCGTGGAGGCAGGTCCCCCCCCACCTTGGAGACCACTGCCCCAGCCCCCGCCTGTCATTGCAGCCCCCACCCCTGCCCCCACCCCCACCCGTGTAGACCTGCCACTCCCCGTCCTCCCCTGCACGGTTTTCGCTCCCTCCCCCGTGAGCCCCAGATGCCAGTGACCCTCTGGCAGTGATCCCCGCACCTTTCCTTCTCCCCGCCTGCACCCACGGTCCTCCCTCCCTGCTGGGTGAGTCCGTGGTCCCTCCAGCACGGCCCCTGTCTCCTGCACAGACTCGGCCCCTGTGCTTCTCCGTCCGTTCGGAGCGCACGCTTGGCCACCCCAAGCCCCACTCAGCACTGCAGCCAGGGCGACCCTTTGGAAACTAAGTCAGGACCCACGGTGCGCTGCCCGCCGGTGGCTCCCACGTCGCCCAGGAAAAGTCCAAGTCGCACAGCGGGCGTTCGCTGAGGCCCCTCCTGATCTGGCTGTACCTCCTCCTTTCCCCGGCCCTGCCCCGCTCTGCCTCCACCACGTCCCCCCACCCGGCTCCTCCCGCCCCGGCACACTCCACGCAGGCAGGGTGTCCCCTAGGAGGGGACTGCCTCTCCTTTACCCTCTCAGGCAGGCCATCCTTCAGCATCCCAGCCAAACCCCTCCCCCGATTGCTATGGCCTCTCACGGCCTCTTGCTCTCCAGAGCGCCCAGCACCCTCGGAGGTGCCCGCAGGTGATCTGCTTCCTGCCTGTTTCTCTCCATCACCCTGTGACACCCACAGGAGGAGTGAGGGACTCCAGCCTTTCGTTCACAGGGGTGCTCCCGGTTAACACCAGCTGAAGACCAGCGACAGCCTCATTAGGCTGTCTCTCTGTGTATGTTCGAAACTCCCCGTGACAAAAGGCCGTTTTCTAAAGGCTTTGGATGGAAGGAAGGAAGGAAGGAGCCCAGGGCACGGCTTTGGGAACCGACCTTGCCCGTGTCCTGAGGAGCCGGCTGCAGCATCACCGAGCAGGGCAAGTAGTCAGGAAACTGCGGAGAGAAACAAGCAGTCACTCCTCTCAGAGGTGACGCCGTGGGCGAGGCATCCTCACTGGGCAAACACCGGAGAACGCGGGCGAGGCGCAGGCGACAGGAGACGCTCGCTCACGCGCGCGCCCCCAGCACCGAATGACAGACACCGTGAAAAACAGAGCCGACGCAGAGTGTCTTGCACACCTGGACACACAGACACGCAGGGAGGGGGCTGTGCTTCTCAGACGTGGGACCACGTGATGCATGTGTCCTGCATCTGGCTTGCTCACGTCCCTGACCCTGACCCTACTTCTCAGGACATGCTAAACCATGTTCCCGCCACACATCATGGCCGGCGCCACCAGAAACCCCAGGTTTCGGTAGCCGGCTCCTCTGGTGGCGGGTCTGGACCCCTTCGCCACGATCAGCACACTGTGCAGTAAACACCCCCCCCTCCCTTCAGGCAGCCCGGCCCCGTTCCACTCAGTTAGCTCCAGACAGAGGCCGCGCTGCTGGGAGGGGAGCAGCCGGGTCACAATGGCATCTCTAAGGTTCGATACACGTTGACCTGTTGTCACCTCAGATTCCCAGGACAGTGAAACGTGCCTAAAGTGATTTTTTAAAAAAGGCATTATGATAAAACGCACGTAACCCAAAACCTACCATCTGACGCGTGCAGCTGAGCCGCGTGAAGCGCCTTCACCCCGTCCTGCACACACCCCTCCCGCCCCCTCCGGAACCGCTTCATCACCCCACGCTCGCTCCCCTCCGCCTCCGCCGCCGCCTCCCCCAGCCCCCGGCAGCCTCCGCTCGGCCTCCCGTGTCTGCGGCTTTGACCGCTCCGGGGACCTCGCGTGGACAGACTCGGACAGTGCTTGTTCTCCCGTGACTGGCCCCTTTCACACAGCGCGGCGTCCTCCAGGTTCACCCACGTGGTAACGTGCATCAGAAGGTCCTTCCTTTCTAGGCCGGACCAGGTAACCTTGGAGGAGCCTCTCATCGTAAGACGCGCTAGCAAAGAGTTCACGCCAAGTCTTGGAAGAGGAGCAGCCTGGCCCTGGGGGGCGGGCAGGAGTCCCCAGGGCAGACGAGGCCTTGAGAGATGAAGCGATTTCTCTATGGGACCCACGGAGCTAAGGCCTGTCTAAGGCTCCTTATTCCACTGAGATCCCCTGTCCCGAGAGGGACTCTTCTGTTCCGAATTGCTGGGGCCACCGCGGGGACACCTCTTTCTTTTTATAGACAGGCAAGTGAAGGAAGAACACGCGTGTAATTAGGTGCTCTGCTGAAGGGGGACATTTAAACCGTCGGCTCCAACGGTGTTTTCAGAGGCCGAGAGGCTGTTTTCAAGGGCTTAAAAAAGGACAATCACAGCCCGCGCAATCTAGCATTTCCTCCAAGGGTGCAATTTGGAGGCCCACAAATGTGAAGCCGTGCCGCCTCCGCCCCCTGGCCTTCGCTCCCGGTCACACGTCACAAGGTGCTGTGGGTGGAGGACCCAGGGCAGGGGAGCGCACGGGACAGGGGTCACCCACCGTGAGCACGAAGGGGTACGCGTTGGCCCCCAGCTTCTTGACCAGGCTGTCCTGCAGTTTGGTGAGGGCCCCCGCGGCCCCCACGGGCGGGAACGCCTGGACCCGAGAGAAGTACAGGTCCCTGCGGAAGCTCAGGCCGATCACATCGATGTCCTCCTGGCCGTAGCGGAAGGCGCACGTCACGGAGACGTACACTGGAAGGCAGGCAAGAAAGGGAGGGGCTGGGCCTGCGGCGGAGTGAGTGTGGGACCACCCGACACCGCCGGTCACGGTGTCCAGCCTGTGGCTGCTGGAGGGGGCGGGGTTTGAGAGAAGCACACGCCCCAGCTGGGCCTCGCTCCTCTCCCCAGGGCTGTGGGAACTACTCTACGGGGCGTGGCAGGGGACCGGGGGCCCCTCCCATGAACCCCATCATTCAGCCACTCGCCTGCCTGCACTGTTCCCTCTTTCCCTCCACCCCCTCCCCTAGACCCTCAGGAGGCTTTATAAAAGTTTTTTTTTTAATCCTTACTCAAAGATGTTTATTGATTTTAGCCCTGGCTGGCGGAGCTCAGTGGATTGAGCTCGGGCTGCAAACCAAAGTGTCGCAGGTTCGATTCCCAGTCAGGGCACATGCCTGGGTTGCAGGCCATGACCCCCAGCAACCGCACATTGATGTTTCTCTCTCTCTCCCTCCCTTCCCTCTCTAAAAATAAATAAATAAATAAATAAATAATCAAGATTAAAAAACAAGATGTTTATTGATTTTAGGGGAGGGGGAGACAGAGAAACAGCGAGGAGAGAGAGAAACATCCATCAGCTGCCTCCCTTCTGCGCCCTGACTGTGGGCCGGCCCGCGGCCTCTTTGGTGTACGGACGACACTGCAACCGACTGAGCCGCCCGGCCAGAGCTCAGGACACTTTTAACCGGTGCAGGTCGCTGGGGTTCTGAGGGCAGGACGTCTGGCCGGAGCGGAGGGTGTGGGCAAGGAGCAGGGGACAACGGGTCTGCTCCAGAGCCAGCAGGGTCTGTGCGAGGCGCCGGGGGGCGTATGGATCAGCAGAGAGATGGAGCCACAGCGGGAGGAACCCTTCTTTCCACACTGCTGCCGAACCAGCCCTCTCGGAATCACCGCTTCCGAGGACTCAGTTTGATTAAGAAGCTGTAAATTGTGCCCCCAGTGGATGAAAGGAGTGTAGGAGCCTACACACATTAGCACAGTCAGTCTTCAACGTGGGGAATAAAAGCACACACTAGTCCAGAACAGAGGCACACGGAAGCGGTCCCCCATGCCTCTGTGGTCGTCGGTTGAGGATTCTGTCTGTCCGTCCCAAGGATAACTGCCCCCCGGGGCTAAGCTCAGAAGAGACACCAGCAGCTTGCCTGTCCCCCACCTGAGGTCTGCAAGAGGACGGTGCCAGAGGTGACCGGGGAGTGCGTCTCCCTGCCAGGCGGTGCTTCCCCTCTGAGCAGGTGCCCTTCCCTGCTGAGGGTCCCACCGGGAGGGAGGACACAGCGGAGGGGGTGATGATCGGCCCTATTTCTGCCGGAACCCCTGGATCCTGATGGCCCCATGTCTGACACCGTCCCTGGGTCCATCCAAGGTTAGTTAGGGACAATGCCTCATGGTCGCCAGTGGCGGCCACTCCAAAAGGCATCTTTAGAATGGAACTGGCCTGTGGCATGATCATAAGGGTAACTCGAATCTGCTCTCATTTAGTTCACGAACTGTTATTAGCACCAAATTAACCTGCCCTCCACGCCCCAGCCGCCAGAGGCCCGCACGAGGGCACTGACACCGCGGCTCGGAGCCACCACAGTAAGCAGCAAGGCAAGTCCTGCCTCCCGGCAGGCTCCAGGGCCCCCTCTTCCGAAAACCCACCGAGGGCCCCCTGTGGTTGGCCGTGGCACAGAACTACGTGCGCAAGCAGGCGGAGCCGCCAGACCTGGGCCCCGGGCTCCGCCACCATTTATTTACTCCTCCTGCCACCTCGGTCACCTGGCGACCCCTGAGTCCTCACCTCCATCTGAGAAATGGGGACAGCGAGCCGTGCGGGGAGCGGGACCAGTATCCCGAGGACGACACCAGGGACGACAGGAGGGCAGGAGGTCCCACTTCTCCCCGCCACACACGCACACCCCCTTCCCTGCGCCAGCCCCCTCCCTGCGCCAGCCCCGCCCCGCCCCGCCCCGCCTCGCCCCGCCTCACCTTTCTTTCCCTTCACGAGCTCAGGGTCCACCAGCACAACACCATCTGCACCAAAGAGAGAGGCCGTGAGGCTCGGGAGACCAAAGAGACCGGAGGCCTCCCCTGGAGGTGGAGGTTTTTCATTGCACATTCCAACTGGGTTCGTTACAGGAAAATTAAGCAAAGAGAAAACAAAGTCATCTACATTCCCACTCCCCAGAGACACCCACTGCCAAGATATTGGCACAGATTTTTTTTCCAGATGTATATGCACCACGCATGTCTTTATGAGAGAGACAGAGAGAGAGAGATCCTACTTTACCTACCATTCAGTTCACTGCTTTCCTCACTTAAGTACACTGCCAACATTCACACACACACACACACACACACACACACACACACACAATGCACTCATCATTCATTGGCTACACATTGCTCCAAAGAATGAAAGTAGCGTAACATGTGCAACTACCCTCCTCCCGTTGGGGGTTCAGGCTGCTTCCACCTTTCTCCATTCTCACTGACACTGCAAGGAGCACCCTCACAGCTGCCACGACCTTCCCGAGAGGACCTGGCTGAGGGGCACTCTCATCCTCGGCGCCTAAAAATGCCAGCTTTGCACACTCTTTAAAAAAAACACACACACACAACTATTTGAGTTGAAATAATTATAGAATCCCAGGAAGTGGCCGAGATGGTACAGAGAGGTCCCTGTGCGTCCCGGTGGTTACATTGCAGGTAATTACAGTACAAGGTCAAAACCAGGGCGCTGACATGGGCACGGCGTGTGCAGAGTTCCAAGTCATTTCCTCTCACGTGGGGATCTCTGTGACCGCCGCGCAGTCTGGGGACAGCAGGGCTGGGGACAGCCATCCTGCCCGGCTCTTTCCCGGGACTCCCTTTGGAGTGAGTCCTGCCCCCAGCCCCCTCCGTCCCTCCCGGCGGTTGTTGCGTGGGTCACCGGCCAGCAGTGACCACGGAACGCTGTGGATGGCTCGCTGAAAAGCACGCGAGAAAAAACACACATGCACAGAGACAGACTAGTTTCTGTGGGGAAGTAGGGACGAAATGGCCACCCCCCCCTAGTGGGGAGTGCGCCGATTTACCGTCCATACCTGCTTTTATTGGGCTCATTCTGCATAATAATTCAGGTAAAGTACAGTACTCATTAGGGGGAAGTAAGGAACCATAGAAAACAAAGAACTCTGCCGGTCTATTTTGAGTTGGGGTCAAACAGCTGTAAGACTGAGGAACAAAATAACTTCCTCCTAAGACCCCTCTCATTCAACTGAGAGCATTCTAAACAAAGAAGGTTTCACAGTAATTTACATGTTCTTTCTTAGGCCTGATCACCCCCGGGGAATCCGCACTTCTCAGTACAGAGCTGCACCACCCTGTCACTGTTTCAGGCTTAGGTGGAGCAAGGGAACTAAGGCAACCAAGAGATAAGGAGATTTTCTTCCAGACGCTGAGAACTCAGGCTATGTCAAAGCCGAGGAGCCAGGGTCCATCACCCCCTTTTGCTGCAGCCCCGCAAGTCCTTCTTTTGGGGGGCCTCCATAAGTGATCGTGCCTGTCTCAGGTCGTTCACCCCGTGGGGAATCTTACCCGTCTTTGGCTAACCGACCAAGCTTTTTGGGGTTCAGTTATGAATAAAGCAGCAGAAGCAGCATTCCTGCCAGGGAGATAAGCTTTTGTCTCCTTGCTGGCTTACAGTTCCAAGGGCGGTCCCTTAGCCTTAGCCTAGGCGGGGGTTTCAGCTTCTGATACCAGTCAGGGCGGTTCCCAACAGGTGGTAACTACTGACACTGCTGATCTGTTTCCCGCTTCCACCCTGTTCTCGTCTGGAGAGCGTTGCAGAAATGGAGCCAGCCGTGCAGTCCACGGCCTCTAGAGCCTGGCGCTCCCACTGGGCACGACGCCCTGGAGACCCAGGGGCTGCTGGTGTGCCGGCCACTCCTTCGTTCTAGGGCCGAGGCCAGCCTCGTGGTGCAACCGAGCCACAGAGCGTCTAACCTCGTTCCCCCCGGAGAAACCTTTCTGCTCTTTCCCGTCTGGAGCCGCTACAGACAACGCTGCCAGGGGCACACGCGCCCAGGTTTTCGCGTGGATGCGGTTTCCATTTCTCTGCAATAAACCAACACCCACGGGTGCAGCCGCTGGGCCATGGGGTAGGTCTCTCTGTTTTTTTCTCAGTTTTCTAAGAAACCGCCAGGCGGTTTTCCAGAGGGGCTGCTGCGCCACTTTGCATCCCCACCAGCCCTGCACGGGCGGCCCGGCGTCTCCGCGTCTTCACCGGCATGTCGTGCTGTGAGTGTTTTTCACTGTCGCCGTCCGGACAGCCGGAGACGACGCTTCAGCGCGGTTTCCACCGGCATTTCCCTGATGCCCGACGACGTCACGCATTCCTCCACGTGCGTGTTTGCTGCCCGTCCGTCGTCTCTGACGAAATGCCTCTTCGCGTCTTTTATCTACTTTCTGAGTGGACTTTGATGTCCTTTTCCTGAGGAGTGTCGAGGGTCCCTTGCCTGCTCTACAGCGAGTCCCGTGTCCCCACCCCACACTCTTTAAAGCTGTTTCCAACCAGACAGCGGCCCCTCACGGATGTTTCTGTTTGCACGTCTTTGATCACACTACCAGCAAAGCCCATTTTTAAAAACACAAAGCGAGGAGTTGTCTGTTGACTTAAAGGAAAGCCAGCGAGAGAACCTGACTCCAAACTCAACTTACCCACAGGCTCTACTTGGTCAACATGGTCTATGTAGTCTCTCTTCCCCAGGTAGATGGTCACCTGTGGGCAGAACACATATGGATTCTAAGTGGCCAGAGAACACTCACCTAAGGTGTTGTCTTAAAAATCAGCCAACAACCAAAACCTTTTGATGAGTTTTGGGGAGAGGAGCCCCTGGTCTGCAGCCGGCCCATCACCTCCCCGCCCCCTGCTTGGCCGAGGGCAGAGAGGATGGGTTGCAGGCAAGGTGTGCTCTTTCCTCCGCCTCGTAAGTCAGCTCCACGGAATCCTTCCTTCCCCTTTGGATGGACCCTGTTCTCTCCACCTTTATCCACCAGGCCCGGGTCTGATATCACCCAGCTAAACTAGTTGAATTAACTGAGAGTACTTTCGAGGAAAGTTATCCCTATGCAAATGAGCCTTCTCCCACCCATTTGCATGTTAAGCCTTTAATTTCTAGCTGTGAGTGACAGGTTTCCCCACCTCAGTTAAAAAGAATTTCTAGACTCCATCAACATTTGCTACATGCGCCAGTGAGTAGCAAATGGCCAGCCCCTTCTTCCCTAAGCCTCCTAAATTCACATTTTTATTTCCGTGAATACTCCAAATCATTTTCGTTGGCATTAAATCGTCTCCTAGACCCACCCCCTCCCCTCAGAGGTCCTGGACTGAATGAATCCCCGAGCCTCAGGTCATCTGCATGAACGACATTGAACCACCATAAGAGTAGCATAGCCAGGTGACCGGACAGAGGACAGGAGGTTGGATGGTGGGGGTGGGGGTGCGCTTTCTGGGTGAAACAGTTCGGTGTGTACAAAGCCCGAAGACAACAGGATACTTCTGGAACTGCTCATGCTTCATTTGCAGGTGACTGGCCACCAGATGGGGGTGCAGGCTGATGGCGGAAAGGGTCTTAGGGGACCTGGCCCCGAAGAATCTAGGGAGACACTGAAGCATGTCAAACCGGATGAAAGACCTGCAGTCACAAGGCATGTAGAGGGTTGACTGTGTACCAGGCACCATGCACCACGCTGAACGCTGTGGCTGCGAATTTCACTGAATCCTCACAGCAGCCCCGTGAGACAGGAATCATCAGCCCGTTTCACAGAGGGGACCCCCGAGACTGTGGCCACGTTGGCGGCAGAGTGGGGAACGGACTGGCAAGTTCGGAAAGAGGGCCGGGCAGGGAGCGGGTATGGTCGGGAGCGGGAAGGAGTGCCCTGCGGGGGAGGGAAAGAGGCAGGTGATGAGAGTGAGGGTTTTCTTCTTTTTCAGGCTTTGGCTGTGAAGGAAGGCGAGCTAGAAAGGGTACAGCGTTGGGGGTGTTTTTAAGGTACTGAGGTCGGTACTAGTTTGGATGCTCAGGCAAAGGCCTGGGGGAGAGAGAGAGGCTGCAGATACCGCCGGGCGGGAGGCTGATGGTGCAGGACCCTGAGGCAGCATGGACCCCGGGTGGGAGCGCAGGCACCTCCTCCGTGTAGATGCGAGGGCAGGGGCAGGCAGTGGAGAGGGGCTGAGTGTGAGACTGTAGCCGCCTGCTGCTTGCCCACCCAACGGCCACGCACTCCTTCCTGGATAAGTCACCCGATGTCGCAGGGTCCACCACACCCCTGTGGTCCTGAGCTGAGAGGAGGCCAGCCCAGAGGATGATTCTCAATTGGCCAGATCAGTTATGATTATCCAATTCCTTTGGCTCAGGACTGGTATAAAGCGGGCATGCGGCCCTGACTGGTGTGGCTCAGTTGGTTGGAGTGTTGTCCCTTAGACCAAAGGGTCGCAGGTTCAATTCCCAGTCAGGGCACACACCCAGGTTGCAGGTTTGATCTCAGTCGGGGTGCACATGAGAAGACAACTAGTCAATGTTTCTCTCTCTCTCTCTCTCTCTCTAAAAGCGAAGAAAAAGTGTCATCAGGGGAGGATTACAAAAGAAGCAGGCATGTGACCCAGTTTTGACCAATGAGATATGAGAGAAATTTTGTCCTCACTCTTAAAAGGAGACCCCAGGAAGCAACAGCCTCTTCCTTCTTCTAGGAGGAAGTGAGGGTGAGACGCCTGGAGCTGGGGCAGCCACCTTGCCACCAGCAGGAGGGTGAAGAGAGGGCAGAGCAGACAGACTCCCAGAGACCCGGCCCCCGAGCCCCGGCACCCCATGCCGGGACCCACACGGAGGTGGCAGTTGGAACGACCCTCATCATCTGAGACATCAGTGGATGAATTATTTTTTACCCCACAATACAAAAAGGTCTAAACTTCTTGGTGCAAAGGGTGCAGACCTAGGCGTGAGGAAGAAAAAAGTGGAAAATGACAAGGCCCAGCAGCAGCACCTCTCTCCTCCTGCCGGAAGTGCCCTGGAAAGACACACGTTAGAAAAGAGTTTGGAGAGTGAAAGGGCGAGGAGCGCCCAACCGCCACCCCGGCGGATCGGGGTACTTGATGAAAACCAGGGGGCTCCTCTGCCAGGAGAGGGGCGGGGAGAGGGGGGCTAGCAGAGCCCGAGTCTCGTGTGTGACACCGGAGGGCTCAGAGCGAGTTTGGGGGCCCCATGCGGGCTTTGGAAGTCAGCAGGAAGGAGGGCCTTCATCCGCACGGTCCAGTACGGCAGCCACTAGTCACAGCTGGCGCCTGGACACGTGAAATACGGCCATTCCCGACTGACAGGTGCTGTGGATGTAGAATACACACCAGAAAACGCATGTAAAATATGTCACCAAAAATGTTTGTATCCTTTACAGGTTAAAACGATAGCTTTCTGGGTATATGGGGTTAAAGAAAGATAATATTAAAGCGAATGCCACCTTTTTCCTCTTATTTTTTAAAAGCAGCTATTAGGAAATTTGAAATTGCATAGGCAGCTTGTCCCGATGGTGTGGAGCTAGACGGCTGGCCCCTAAGAAGCCATCGAATAGAGTGAGGCCACCCCATCCTCGGAGACTTGGGGTGGACCTTCCCCAGTCTCCCACACTGGGAAGTTCATGGGCACATCTGGACCATCATCTCATGTGCCCCTGACGGAGCCAACAGTGGCGCTCTCCCTGCCGAGGATGCAGTGTGCCAGGGTGTTGGCGGCCCTGCAGCCGCAGGGCAGCATGGCGGAGGGGGAGCAGCTGAGCATGCTCTGTTGTCCCGAGGCCCTGAAGGCCCAGCAAGGCCGAGAGCGCTGCGCCGGGGCAGGTGCGCAGGAGGGAGCGAGTCCTGTTGATGCCCCATTAGGGGCTTCCCCAGGCGGGGAGGGGAGATGACAGACAAAGGGCCAAGTGAGTTCCAGGTAGACACAAAACAGTGTTTGCAGTGGTAGGTTGTGGACTCAAGGCTGGCTAGGAAAAGAAGTAAAATTAGGGGTGAGGAGAAGGGGACTGAGAGATTAGGAGAAAATTAAGGGTCTCAGGACTAAAGTCTTGCTGCAGTTGAAGAGAAGTTGCATCTCTGCCCTGGCTGGTGTGGCTCAGCAAATTGAGCACCAGCCTGCAAACCAAAGCGTCGCCGGTTCGATTCTGAGTCAGGGCACGTGCCTGGGTTGCAGGCCAGGTCCCCCGTAGGGGGCTCATGAGAGGCAACTACACATTGATGTTTCTTTCCCTCTCTTTCTCTCTCTCTTCCCCTCTGTCTAAAAATAAATAAATAAAAATTAAAAAGAAGAAGTTGAGCCCTGGCTGGCATAGGTCAGTGGATTGAGCGCGGGCTGCGAACCAAAGCATCACAGGTTCGATTCCCAGCCAGGGCACATGCCTGGGTTGCAGGCCACGGCCCCTAGCAACCACACATGATGTTTCTCTCTCTTTCTCCCTCCCTTCCCTCTCTGAAAATAAATAAATAAAATCTTAAAAAGAAGAAGTTGTGTTTCTGCAGCTGACTTGTTCACATACACCGCATCTAGCATCCGTCTCAGGCAGAGACAGAAAATAGACAGACAGCACCTCTCAACTTCACGAGGTCTTGGGGTTGATCATATCTATTCTCCAAAAGGCTCCTTTGAAAAACCAACCAACCAACCAACCAACCAACAGGCAAACATTTCCATCAAGCACTCACTTCTGCGCCACCTACCGATTTGTCCCTGGAGACCTTCTTGAAGATGACGTGGTTTGGTGCCGCCTTACCGGTCTTCGCGTTGGCCGCCATGCTACCTGTCCCCGGCAGTGCCTTCCACCTCGGGACACCCTTCAGGGGTCAGGGGGCTGGGGAAGGTAAAATCAGTCCTACATGTAAAGTCAAGCGCATCCTGGGCGTAAAACCTGCTCGTGAGACGCTGCGCATCCGCCCGACGTTGCCCCTACCTGCCTACCAGTGTCCACGTTTGATTAAATAAGGTCTCTGTCTGGTTCGTATTGCACGGCAGTGCACCACTTTGGAAAAGCTGTGCTTTTATTTTTATTGACAAGCCCCAAACATCGGTCGGCACGCCTCACCAGGGAGCCCAGCCGGATGCCAGTGGGAAGGTCCTACTTGCTGACTACCCTTTGGTGTCGTACACTGGGGCAGGGCGACTTTGAAATCCTGTCAGGGTGCTGTCTTACGGCAATTACAGTGGGAAGGGTCCCGAAAGGCACAGCGTAACCCCTTCACGACAAACAGCACTTTCAAAATGTGTTAAACCCCCAAAAGGCAGGTTCGGCAATGCGTGGTCGGCGGTGCTGGGCTGTTCCTGCCCCCCTCCCCCTCCCGGGCGCACAGACAGCGGGGGTGTCTTCTTGGCACCCCTCAGCGCACTCCGGTTTCCTGAACAAGCAAAGTGCTCGGGAACTACCCGGAGCGGGTGAAACAGGGACAGACGGACGGCACGCACACACCCGCCACCCTGAGCTGGCCCTGCCGCATCCTGTCCCGTGCCCGAGAAGGCGCGTGCAAGGGCGGTCACATACCTTGTGCGACCAGCCAGATGGCCCAGGAGGAGAAGGGCTCTGTGCCCTCCGCCGTGGCGGTCAGCCCCGGCTGTCTGCCCCGATGACCCCGGCGAGGCCCCCGGCTGACGTGTGTCGGGAATTTGTAGGGGATCTGGAGAGGGGGCCCGCGCTCAAGGTCTCAAGGCCTCAGAGCCAAATCCCCTCCTCGGGGCGGAGTGGACATTGGATTAGTGTCAAGACGGGCGGACGTGTCACTCAGCAGTGCCAGGCGTCAGGCCAGGCCTCCTTCCGGGGCGGGGGGGGGCTCAGAGCGGGGAGCCACCCCGCTGGACTGGGGACCGCATGGGGGGAGGGACAGCGGCTCAAGGAAAGCTACTTTCTAGCCTAACCCTCTTTGGGTTCTGGAAATAGACTGATCATCTCTTCGAAGGACAGGGATTTCTGAGTCCTCAAAACACCCGATTAACCCCGGCAGGTGGCTCACGCAGGGATATGCAGAAAAGGTCAAGGGGATACATCAACCTCAACAGGAACCCCTCGTGCCAGGCGAGCCAAACCAGGCAGGTCCCTCCCCTCCAGCCCATCGTCCTCTTGGTGGGGTCACGAGTCCTGTCCGTGTCCCCAGTGTCTGGAATCTGTCCCCGCTCTCCGGGCCCAGCACCTCCCCGAGGGTCCACGGCAGCCGCCCTGCTCTCCCGGACCAGAGGCCTCCTGCGGGTCTGACGGCACCATCTGTCCATCTGCACCGCCAGGCCCTCCCAGGCCCCGCTCTGCACCACGCTGCTCACCCCACCCCATGGCCCTGGGGACACAGGCACCTCTTTAAAACTCTGCCCGCCCCTCTGCCCGCCCCTCTGCACGGCCCTGCACCCCGTCCCCAAGCTGTCTGCGCCCGGACAGTCCTCCCGTCTCCCCGCCTCACTGACTCTGTCCCCCTTGCGGCTCCAGCCCAGCAGGCCCTTCCTCGGCAGAGCCTCTGCCACCCTCCAGCACTGCGCCCTGGGCACGTGCGCGGACGGTGACTCCATGTCTCTCTTCAGCGCTTGACTCTGGGTTGTACAAGGCCGGGCACCCACGCTGCTGTGTTTCCCTCACCTTCCGATCGCAGTGCCCAGCACAACAGCGGCTCCCACGAACACCCAGGGAGTGCCTGGAGGGCACGCTGTGGCCACTGACCCACACGTTGGGCTGGACCTGGTGTCTGGGGAGGAAGCAAGTCTCAGCAGAAAGCCGGTTTGGGGTGTCAGCACCTGTCAGGACACGCCAGTGGCTTCCCCCCAGTTAAGCCTGGATGAAACCTGCGGGGCCCTGTGTGACCTGGCTGCCCCGCCGCCTGCGACCCTGCGTCTCACCACCTCGCCCGCTTAGCCCCGGTCCTCGGGCCCCTTTGCTTTTCTCCAGACCTGCCGCAGGGCCCGCGCAATCCCTGTGTCCCGTCCGGGGACACTCTTCCCGCAGCCAGCCGCTCGGCTCGCTCCCTTCATCCCTCCGGGTCTGGATGTCGATGTCGCCCTATGCCCCCTCCCCCGACGCTTTCATCCTCTGTCTCTGCATCATTTCCCCCTGTACCACTTGTCATCTAACACACAAGAGAATTCACATTTTAATCTTGTTCCTTGTCCGTCCCCGCACTGCACCGTCGCCGGAAATGTAAGTCTCTGACACTTGGCGGCTTTTGCCTGTTCTTACCCCGTCCCGTCGCAGGCATCCGGAACAGGGGCCTCGGGATACTCGGACCGAATCAGTGAGCCACTGGACTGCAACCGTGTAATAGCTGGCGAGAGCTAAAGCGGGGGGGGATTTTTAAAAAATTTCTAAGGGGAGGCCCCTGGCTGGTATAGCTCAGTGGATTGAGCGTGGACTGTGAACCAAAGTGTCATCAGGGCACATGCCTGGGTTGCAGGCCCTGGCCCCCAGCAACCGCACGTTGATGTTTCTCTCTCTCTCTTTCTCCCTCCCTTCCCTCTCTAAACATAAATAAATAAAATATTTTTTAAAAATTTCTAAGGGAGAAAACTGTTTTTTAAATAAAGTAATGCCAGCGAATAAATGTAAAACAAATGATAAAATCAGCAAAACATCATTTGAGCAACGGACTGTATGAATAATGCCTTTTTATTGTCTGTGTTTCTGATGCTTTGCTCTCTGGGGCCTTGCTGCCCTGGGGTAAATGCAAACCATCCGACCCACAGCCCACACACCTCAGCCTCTCCTTGTCTTCCGCTCTGGGAGCCGCTGTGGCCCCGCCCTCACCAACCGGGCCCGGGGGACAGACAGCTGGAGACAGGCCCCGCCCCCCAGGGCCTCTCAAGACACTCAACCCGCCCGTCTTGGGCCTGCTTACCCTGCCTTGCCAGTGCTTTCCTGGGAACCACGGAAAGACTCTTGCCCACGTTTCCCCCTCGATCCCACTGCCCCCCGACCTACCCTGGTGCTTCTTCAGGTGACCTGTGTGGCGTGGCCTGCCCCTCTCTCGGGGAACTGTAACAGACTATCAATACATGGCACCCGTCTCCTTGCCTGTCGGCCTCACCACACCCGAATAACACCAAAACCAGCACTCGAAAACACTGATGAAGTTACTGACTCAGACAACAATTATTCGCTGGTGTCAGAACCAGCAGATGTGATGGGAAAGTGGTTGTCCCTGTAGAACCAAGGGGACGCCGCATGGACCCTGGGCTCGTCACAGGGGCAAGCCCGGCAGCACAGTGGAGAGCCAGGGGTGCCCACGGTCCGCGCTGCCAGCCGGTTGGGAGGCGCCCCCAGGGGGTAACCGGCCCCATCGGGGTTCAGACATGACTTCTAGTGTACAGGAAACGCAAAGAGCAGAGGAACAAGCTGAACAGCAATGCGAGAGAGCTCCCAGACGGGTCCAGAGAGGAGCCGGCATCTTGCGTAATAAGTCCACGTCCCAGAAAAGCGGCGGACTGGACTGAAAGACGCTCAGGGGACTCAGCAGCAGATGCCGCGCTCGGTCCCAGGCGGGACCCACCCAAATGCACCCACAGGATGTAGAAGACGTTTGGGGTCCACGGGGAAAACCTGACTATAATCTACCTGACAGGTAAGATGGAGATATCTGGAAGGGGAAAACAGAGATTGTGACTGAGCCAGAGGTCATAGGATGAAATGTGCACTGTGATCGGATTTCGCCAACAGTCTACATGTGTACATACACACACATGTATGTTTTTATATGTGCACACACATACATGCACGTGTTCATACCCTTTGCATGTACCATCAGCAAAGACGCACAGCAAGGAGCTAACACTGGTTTTTAGGAAACGTGGTTCCAGGCAGTCACTCCCAAGCCCTGGTCTCTGCTCGGGGGGACTGAGAGAAACAAGGCAGTAACTGCGTGTTCTCAACAGAACCAAAGGCGTTCAGTGTCGAATGTCCTGTCCCTCCCTCTCTGCCCCTACTGAGGTGCACTCGACATACAACCCAATGCACTCCTTTCCAGGGTGGTCTGATGAGTTTACCCGCCACCATGATGATGACGTAGAACACGTCCATCACCCCCAAGACTTCCTTGGGCCCCGGTTCAGTCACCCCCCCCCCACCCCGCCGACTCCCCGAACTCCGGGGAAACTCTGAGTTGCCCGTCATTAGTCCAACACTCTCTCGAACGCACTGTGCATGTTAGAACAGTGGTTGTTTAGAACAGAAGTTGGAACGGCACAGCAAACACCCACATTCCACACTGAGACTCGACGATGAACCGCTTGCTGCCCAAGGTCATGGGCCTCCATCGCTTTTTCCCTTTGGAACCATTTGAAAGTATGGAGACTGTGACACGTGACCCGTGAATCTTTCAGGATGCGGCTGGGACGCAGAAGGACAAAATGTCCTTCCTTTCAGAAAATAAAGATGATCGTAGACAGTAGCTTAGGACACATCCTCACTCGGCCACATGAAAAAGCTGCCGACCTTCTCCTACAATTCTTTTGGAAATGTACCGGTCTGCGAATTCTCCAAGTCTGTTTCTCTGTGGTCGGCGTCTGGTGAGATGGAGCCAACTTGCCGTGTGTTTCCTCCCCTGGTGCCCAACCCAGCCGCAGCTTGAGGGGACGCTCGACTAAGCAGCTTCGGGCTTTGGGGTAAGGCGATCGGCTCAGGGGTTCACCAGGGCACAGGCCTGAGGCACACTGGTGCACTCTGCTGACCATCAGCGACAGAAGGAAACCTTGTTCCCCGGCATCCTGGTGGCTGGGAGCAGAGAGCGCTTGAGAAGTCGGAGGCGACTGTATTCACGACGAGGGCCAGGGAACGGGAGCTTTTAAAAGCCACCTTAACGCCACCAGGCACCTCTTTGTCAGCTGACCTGGAGGATAGAGGGCTGTTATGGGTTGGGCCGGCTTATACTGAAATCATCCATGGAACCCCATGGGTTCTCAAGGTGGGCAGAGACCCTTAGGCCCCACCCCACTCCCTGCTTTGATCTCTTCTGCAATAGCCACAGGACGTTGTTGAATGCTTCCAGGGATGGTGAAATCAGTCATCTTTCTTTGAAACAGGACGAAGCGTAAGAAAGTTCGGTTAGAATGGAACCAATCTCCTGCTTCTCTCTGACGCTCCAAGTTAATCTCATCTCTTCCGCGCGTGACTCTCATAATTAGAACACAGGCACTCCTTCCTCGCAGGCACTGACGTCCTCTCGGCACCGTGGGGTCCCACCCCAAGACAGGTTTCAAATGCCCATCTCGGGGCATCGTGCTGGGAACGGCACGTAACGGTCCAGGTTTCCGTGCAACAGGGGCAGGTTGGTCAGCCTGCAGCCGCAGACTGCAGTCCTGGGACCCAAGGGTCACCGATGAGTCCACTGTGACACACAGGAAGGAGCTGGGCCTCACTGCCATTTCCTTTCCCTCACCTGCAGGGCCAGGGAGAAAAGATGAAGTGCCGTGCAGAGTGGAGGCAGAGGGTCCTGATCAAGACTCCCCTTGGTCCTCCCCAAGGTGCTTCTTCACCTGCCGGCCAGGCCACATGCCCACTGGAGGGGTTTCCATGGCAACAAAGCTGCTACGGCACAGGAATTGGACTCGATCACAAATTGCATTGCTTGCTCCAGAAGTTGGCAAAATAAGGTAGATGTCGTTTGTAGGAGAGGCCTCTACAGACTGAAGGTGCAGCCCCTCCAAAATTTGCGGCGTGGGGGAGCCCTAA